TAAGTGTCTTTAGTTGCACTGTTGTGGCTGCTCTATGTCCTGAATTGATTCAAACGTTTATATTTTGTGGTCATTTTGACTTTGGAAAAGAGCCAGAAGTCACACGGTGCCAGATCTGGTGAATAAGGTAGATGAGGATATACCGTGTGTCTGAAGACACATAGAAATTGCCATACCAGAAGCGATGTGTGACACAGAGCCTTACTGTTGTGATCACAAAATACAGTGAATGCTGCAGCACAGCAGAGTGCAATCCAACGGAAAGGCATGGATCTTCAATACGGGAAGCAGCACGTGGAACCGTAGATAACAGTGTGTGGCAAGTTTCAACTTGTTTGGTGTAGTCGGGTGTGAGCTACGGTTGAGAGAAGGTGTTTTAAAGTGTGCCAAAAATCATCCTCCATCATGACAACCCTTTGTGTCACACATCGCTTCTGGTATATGGCAATTTCTGTCAAATAAAAACATTACAGTGTGTCCTCATCCACCTTATGCAGCAGATTTGGCACGGTGCGAATTCTGGCTCTTCCCCAAAGTCAAAATGATTCAAGACATTGTGGCAGCTGTGACAGCGCAACTAAAGACACTCACGAAAGAGGACTTCCAGAACTTCCTCAGAAAGTAGCAAGAACAATGGGGTAAGTGTATTTGAAATGAGGGGAGTATTTTCAGGGGGATTAATGTCAATGTGTCTTTTACTGTAATAATTTTTTTTTTACTTAAACATTCACTGTATTGTTTGATCACACCTTGTATTTGTCTGAAAGATGGACATTGTGGGCACCAGGTCCTAACTCCTATCCAGCAATAGGCAAGTTATTTAATGTTTCCTGCATTTCATGTCTCCATTAAATGTATTGTTACAGGGCCAAAGCAATAACTCTGTAGAGGAGAGTTTTGTAAGGTGGACTATGGTGAGCATAAGTGGGAGTACAGAAGCCATACCTTTGCACATGTCACTGATGCGCTCCTTGAAGACATTGTGGCCATGGCCATCCACATGGGTGCGCAGGAAGTTCTTGAAGCGGTGGTATATCTCTAGCCGGGGGCCCGCCATGCTCACCCACTCGCGCACAGAGTGCCCCTTGAGGTCCTCCAGGTTCTCAATGCTCTCAATCATCTCCTCATCCTCCTCACTGTCCTCTGTGGCCCGCTCCACTTGGTGGCGCTTCCGGGCAGGGCGCTCCTCATCCTCATCGCTGTCTGGGAGCAAAAGGGACATCCTTGAGTGAAGTCTTCCCCAGCACTCCCTCCCAGCTCCCCAAGACTCTGGAAGAAGGACCAGCCCCCTTGGGGGTGCAGACATCTCAACCTACCATATAGGAGCCCACGGCGCATGCGGCCCAGGCCCTGGCCAGCCTCACGGTCACGCTGCCGCATGGCCCGCTCTGCCGCCTCCCTCTGACTGGCTGTCAGCTCCTCTACATCCTCGTCGTCCAGGGCCAGTCCATCAGCTTCGTAGGTGTCCAGCTCTGGGATGGGACGGTAATCCCTGAGGGACCCCCAAATGTTAGTATCAGAAAAACAAAAACAAAACCCAAACGCCACCCAGGAGCTAGGCCTGTTCTACAAGGCTAGGGAGACCTTGCCTGAAGAGTCTTCAGGCCAGTAAGACAAAAGGCTGAAAAGACTCTCCAATGGATAAACCAAGTGTGGTTTACCCATGTAATGAAATACTATCCAGTTTCCAAAAGGTAGGAAAGTCCGATGCATGCTACAAAGATGTCCAATGAGGACATTATATTCAGTGAAATAAACCAGTCACAAAAAGACAAATAATGTATGATCCATTTGGTAAGACGATAAAATTCTGGAGATGGTGATGATGGTCACAGTGTGAGTGTACTTAATGCCACTGAACCAGACACTTAAAGATGGTTAAGACAGGAAATTTTACGTTATTTATTTTTCTACAAAAAGGGGGAGCTCGCTGCACAGCTTTAAGCAGCCAATAAGAGAAACTGGAGGAACCACAAAACCTTCATACATAAAAGCCTTTCAGAGAGACACACCCAGCTTCTCCACAGTGCAGGAATTCTCCCTCTCTGACAACACCACCTCAAACCCCTTCAAGTGCTGGGGGGGTCTTCTATTCACATCAGCCAAATCAGCCTCTCTGAAATGCCCACCAACTCACTCAAGCCTCTCAGCTCCTCTAAGAATGCTAAGGACTTCATTTTCCACAATGTCATCTACCAGCTATATGAAAAATGATACCTTAACAAGGAACCCAAAGCAAAGCCCTGCTCTCCTCCCTGCAATTCTGGGTGGTAGGCATCAGTGCTCCATCGAAACGATGAGGAAACTGAGCATTAGGAGATGATATGACTTTTGCCAATGGTCACTAAGCAGAGCTGGGTGTCGAAATACAGTTCAACCACAAATCGCAAGCTCTTTCCCTGATACCACACTGCCCCCCCAAGATAATCTTCTTCAATTTTCCCTTTTTTCAGGTAAGTGGTGATCAGAGGAACTGCTACTACTTGGGCGGTTTTTGTTTTTCGGTAAACTCTCAAACTATTGGGTCGTCAGAAAAATCATGACGCATTTTTGCATTGAAAAACATAGAAAAATACGTCATGACTTTCCCGATGACCCAGTACGTTCTCAAGACAAGTAATCCCATACTGCTCATGCCAGAAACAGAACCCAAAGCCAGGTATATTTCTAGGCTGATCCATTTCTGAATTCTTAAATTCTCAGGAAAAAGGTATCTGACCCCTCAAGAATTTTAAGTCCCATGAAATGTCCTCAGAGAAATTCTAATTGGTCCATAAAAAAATTGAGAAATTTGACTTCATCAAAATGAAAACCTTTTGTGCCTCAAAAAATACCATGAAAGAAATGAAAAAGACAAACCACAGATTGAGTTGGAAATATTTATAAGTCACATAGCTGATAAAGGGTTTGTATCCAGAATAAATTTAAAAAACTCTTATAAATCAATAACAAAGAGGAATGATCTGAATAGACATTTCCCCAAAGATATACAAAATGTTCACCCAATAAGCACATGAAAAGATGCTCCACATTAAGCATCAGAGAAATGTAAATCTAAGACACCACCTTACACCCGTTATAATGGCTATTATAAAAAACCAGAAAACAACAGGTGTTGGCAAGAATGTAGAGAAATGGAAACCCTCAGAAACCACTCGTGGGCATGAATGTAAAATGGTGAAGCTGCTTTGGGAAAACATTCTGGCAGTCCCTCAAAATATTAACCATACAGTTATCATATGACCCAGCAATTCCATCCCTTAGTATTTGCCAGAGATTTAAAAACACATGTTCACATAAAAACTTCATAGCAGCATTATTCATAAGTGACAAAAAGTGCAAAGAACCCAAATGTCCACCAACTGATAATGGATAAGTAAAATGTGGTCTGTCCATAAAATGGAACATTATTCAGCCACAAAAAGTAATGAAGTACTGACACACGCTACAACATGGATGGACCTTGAAAACCAGAAGCCTGTCGCAGAGTCAGGTATTATGATTCCATTAGTATGAAATGGTCAGAACTAGGAAATCTAAAGAGACAGAAAGATTATTGGCAACTTAGGAGTGATAATGGGAACCAGGATTAACTATAAATAGGCACAAGGGGTCTTAATGGGATCAACATTCCCAATAAGGAAATGTTCTAAAACTAGAGTGTGGTGATGATTGCCAAACTCAGGAAATTGACTAAAAGAACTGAATTATATTCTTATGAGTGGTAAATTTTACAATATATAAATCATAGCTCAGTAAACTTGTTTCTTACAAAGCCACAAAACAAAGTCTAATTTGGCCCAGCTAGCCCTCAGATCTCTCTAACCAGAAACCCCTGCAAAGGGCCTCTCCTCTTATTCTCTAAAGGGAAATAGAAGCGAGGAGAAGGAAGCAATCGATGGTAGAGGATGAGGGAGGAGTGCTCTGCCTAAAGAACTCCACACACACGAAGACCTGTCCAGGGCTGATTTTTCCCCAAACTCCTCATTCCTTCCATAGTCTGGCATGTTCTGCACATCCAGTCTGATGGTCTGGGGTGACAGTGCTTAAAGCAAAGATCCGAACGGTCCAAAGTGGGACCCTTGACAGTCCATGGGATGGCTCACAAGGGCACTCTCTGTGGAGTGTTGGGATGGCCTGTACAGTCCTCTCACACACACATCTGGAACCCTGATTCCAGGAAAGAAAGGCCCAAAAGGAGACTCTTCATGAAGCTCCTGGGCATTCACACAATTCTACTACTGATGCGTCTACTAAATCCTGGTTGTTAATACAGGGCAAAGCAGCAGTAGAAATCTAACCTTGCTCCCTTGCAGAGCTTACTTTACTGTCTTAGCATTAAGCCTCGATAACCTTTAATACATGTTTATACGTTTACTAATAAGTGTGAAAGTAACTAATACAGGGCCTGGTACAGATTAGGTACAAAAATACTTGAACTGATCTAAATCTTGGTTAATCAGGTACCTCCGACGTACACTGTTTCTTTGAAGTTGTAGAAAAATACTCAGCTGCCTGCTTCCTGTCCTTCCCAGTTGGCATTCCTGATGTGGTCCACCAGATTAGAAACCCCTTACAGCTCCTGAGGTGCACATCTCACAGCGTTTGGGCATACCCAGGCCTTAGGGTGCAGTCTTAGATACAAAAAGTTACATGGACCTACTTTGTGGTTCTATGAACCTGTCTCCTCCCAGACTGAACCAAGATGCTCTCAAAGGCAAGATGCTCAGGTTCATCTACTTCCCTAGCACCCAAAGCATGATCTCCGACACACAATGGGCTCTCTGCAAAACTATGTTGAGTGCAGGCCTTGAATGAAAGTACCTCTCCATGCCATCTCCGATAAGTTCCTCTCCGTCCTCTTCCTCTTCCTCCACGGGCCCCTCTGTACCTAGCAGCCCCTCGGACTCATCTTCAAAGGGAGGCAAGTCACGGCCAGGGCTGGAGGTCAGGGCATCTGTGCGCCGGGAGCTTCGCCCAGGGCTGGAGGTGAGAGGATCATTGCTTCGCCGACGCAGAGCTGGGCTAGAGGCCACGGTAGAGGACTCAGATGATTCCTGCAAGGGAAGACAGAGAAGGTGAGGGCTCACTTAGCTTCCTATAAGGTGGCCCTCCCCACCAGTTACCCTGTTCTCCACCTTCCAGACTCAAGGCTTTGCACATGCTGTTTCCTCTATATAGAATGCTCTACTCTGAGCTCTCTGAACCAAAGGCTTCTCAATACACAGGAACCACCTCAAATATCACTTCTTCAAACATCTGGTCACACACAATACCCTGTGTTTTCTCCACCACAAATTACTGAGGATACCTCATTTGTTTATGTACCTGTTTATCGTTTATTCCTCCCAGTAAGGATGTATTGCCACCCATTTGAGCACCCACACTGTGCCAAGCACTGCGATATAGGAGCTAACCAAAACATAAGGGGTCTGATGCTTACAGACTGGTCGAGGGGTCAGATAGTAAACAAGACAGAGACAAAAAGTATTACAATAAGTGCATGAAGATGCGGGACCTTGTCTATCTTGTGTACACTCTGCGCCAGGTACAGAGAGGTCGCCCCACAAGCATGTGCATAATGAATAAAGGATAGTGGCCGGCAGGCTCCGCTGCAGCAGTCCAGCGCTCCTAGGCTGGAGTGGGGAAGGCGGCATCACCAGGAGAACTGAGCGATGCGGGGCCCGCTGGCTTTGCAGACCCCGAGAGAAATCAGCTCCAAACCGGAGTCCAGGGCCTTAACTCATCCGGCGGACCGATCCCGGGAGGGCGGGAACAGGGCAAGAGCGGGGTGCGGACCAGAAGCACGCAGCATTTCTCCCCCATCCTCCCCCCGGCACGCTGTTCCTACTCCTGGCACGAGCCCCGCACCACCCGCGCCCCCCGCACCCGCGCGCTCACCGCCATCGCAGCGCCCGGCTCCTCTTCGCTACTCCAGCAGCGACCAGTTTTCGCGCGAAAAGTGACTCACGTGACCCGCTGGAGCCCGGGAATCGTCTAAAAGAACACGGTGTTATGACGTCGCGCCTACTTGCGTCAGCCGGCGCGCGGAGGCGGGCCAGACGGGGTAGCCGCGCCCACGACGCCTGGAGGCCCCGCCCCGACGCCCGGAGGCCACTGATCCAGGACACCGGAAGCCCAGTCAAGTGCGGGCGGTGCGCGGGAGTTGGCGCTGCGCTACCTTGACCAACAATTTGGGAGCTGAAGTTGCGGGTGCAGGCAATGAAGACCATTCCCACCTGCTGGCTGCCTGACCTTAGTCACGGTACGGTCGGTTCGTAGATGAGCAACTGAGGTTCACAGCCTTGTTTTCTGAGGTCTTCTTACTGTCTGTCTTATGAGTGGACAGTTTCAGCTTCTACAAAAGATCTCAGGCTGAATACTTAAAGCACTGAAACGCTCCGGGATTGTAGGAAGCCACTTCTGATGTTACCGTAGGAGTTAACGTCACGGAGGGGAGAAAAGATGCAGGGATGTTCCACATGGAAAGAACATTTGTAAAGACGTAGTGAGCATGGCACAATGACGAACTGCAAGCAGTTCCACATTTGGGTTCTTGTGATGCCCAGGAAGGGACAACACTTGATGTTGGAAAGCCCAAGTCACGAAAAGATCACCAAGTCTTTTTAGGGAGTTGGAGCTTTATCCTGTGGGAAATGGAGAGCCATGGAAGGGGTTCTGAGCAGGTGAGACAAGAGCCAATGTGGGCTTTTGAAGAATTCCTCAGGCTGCCCCTGGGTTGAGGTGGATTGAACCAGGTTGGAAGCGGTTGCTGCTGTTTTTCCTCCAGTTACAGGTAGCTTAGGCTATAAGGCAGGTCCCTTGGTGAGCAGGGCAGGGCTGGATCTAAGCCCTCTTGGTCCTTTTGTGCAGTGAACAAGTTTCTCTGGATGGGACGCAGGATATGGGGCAGGAGGGATGATGAGGACTGAAAATATCCAAGAGATATTTAGGAGATGGAGTCTGTTGGCCTTGGGGATTGACGACAGCAAAAGGGAGGCATCCAGGATGACACCAGGATTCTGGCTTAGGAGACTAGGCAGGTGAGGGTACCACCTCTGAGATACAGAATGTAGGAGGAAGACAAGTTTTGGGGGAAAGAGGATGAATTTGTTTCTGGCTGTGTTGAACGTGGGCCCTGAGCAGAGATATCCAAGAGGACTTTTGATATTCAGGTCTGGGGTTCAAGTCATGGATGGCCTTAGGAGTGGTTGGATAACCAGATAGTGAGAGCAGTGAGGACAGAAGAAGGCCCAGGCCTAGGGCCCAGGAAACCCTAACAGTTAAGAGGCATAAACAAAGGATGCTGGGTAGGAGCTGGGATACTGGGAGCCGCTGAGGGAGAAGCCAGAGGAGAGATGTGGGTGGGATTGTATTATTTACCTATTGTATTTCAGCATAACAAATTATCCAGGAATCTAGCAGGTTAAAACAATTACTGCATATTATCTCAGTAGCTATGGGTCCAGATGTGAGCTTGGCTTGGCTGGTACCTCTACCTCAAGGTCTCTCACAGGCTGCACTCCTGGTGCTGCACTCATAGTACTGACTAGAACCCCAGTCTAATCTGAAGGCTTAGCTCAGGGAGGCCCCAAGCTCCCTCATGTGGCAAGATTCATTTCCTCCTAGATTGTTGGGGAGGAATCAGTTTCACACTGGCTCTTACGAGGGGACCTCCTCAGTTCCTTGCCATGTGGGCCTCTCTATAGGGCATGTCACAAAATGGCAACTGGCTTCATTCAGAGCAAGTGAACAAGAGGGTTAACGAGTCCATACAAGATAGAAGCTATGTCCCAGCAGTGACATTCCATTACTTTTGCCATATTCTGTTTGTTAGAAGTAAGTTGCTAGGTTCAGTCCACTGTCAAGGAGGACCTGGGGGATCAAGATGATTGATAGGGGCTGCAGGTGACAAGCTGCCAAGAGGTCAAATTTGGTAAAGACAAGGAGCCATTGGTGGCCCTGGGAAGAGCCAGTCTATGCCAGATCAGTGTCAGATGCCACATTAGCGTGTGCTAAGGAGCAGGGTGCAGGGAGGTGAAGAGGGTAAATTTGGACGGTCCTTTGGAGAAGTTGGGCTGTGGGACATGGGCAGTACAGTAACTGGAGTGGGATGTGGGGCTGAGGAAAGGGCTTTTTCTGAAATGAGAGATACTTGGGCATATTTAAATGCTAACGGGAGGAGGGTAGGAGAAATGGCAAGGTGGAAGAGGTTGGGAGTAGCCTCTAGCATGGCCCCCAATGATCCTTGCTTCTAGTATACACACCTTTAAGTAATCTCATCCTACATTGTACCAGAGTTGGTTTGTGTTACAATAGCATATGACAAGTGATTGGATGTCACTTCAGAGACTAAATTATAAAAAGATGTGGCTTTGCTCTCCTTTCCCTCTTTCTGTTAGCTCACTCACTCTGAGGGAAGCCAGCTGCCATGTCTTGAGGACATATGGGCAACCCTGTATTCAGGCCCTTGGAGTAAGGAACAAAGGACCCCAGGCAACAGCCATCTTGGACTCACTCTGGATGCACATCATCTTGGGATTTTTTTCTCATATCAGTGGACATCCGGCACTAACATGATCAAGGACAAGTCTCCGTCCCAACTTTTGGTTCCACCATTCAGCACGTGGCTTTCATCCTCAAGGTCTCAAAATAGCTGCCACCCCCACCCCAAGGCATTGCATCTGATAAATGAGCCAGCTCATCTCTGATCAAACCTAGCCTTTTCCCTTATTTGTCAGCTGGTCAGGAGGGACCTCCCAATCAGCCATAGGTGTGAATGAGGGAGAGGCACTGGTGCAACAGTGGTAGATGATGTAGATCTACAGTGGATCACGTAATAACAGTCTTACAATGGCTGGCTATGGGGCCCACGAGAATTTACAACTTAGTGGGCCTGATAGAACACTGTTCATTAGGGGCAGCTCTGGCCTCATGGTCACTTGATGTCCCCTAGTCATCAGGATCCAGTAGACTAGTGGAGTTTGCATTTTGAATTTTTATATAGTTTTCTGCAGTAGATATCCTGGTCTTGCTCTAGAACTCTAGGGCTCCACATTGTGGTTTTCCCATATGAAGGAAAAACAGCAAAGTAGAGTTGGTATTGTCAAAAGAGCAATCTAAAAATGGAGGCAGAGGTCCCCCAGGAAGCTGAGCTAATACACCCCCTCCATATGAAAACTGAGCTGTACAACTGGGCTACATTCTGATACCGTTTCTGTAACTGGCTCTGCATCACTGAATTTTCTATTAAAAAATAAAATTTTTACCTAGTAATAGACATAAGCAATTAATCATGTATAGCATAGTGTAAATCTCCTTGCCAGTACCAATTATAGCGTTTTCAAAGCCGCTTGTATAATCTTGTTAGAAGCCCCCCTTTTTCTGTTTTTATAAACTGTTCCTTTCTTTCTCCCTCAGAAAACAGTTGGGTTTCTTCCAAAATCTGTGTCTCTAGGATTTGCAATTCCTAAAAAACCCCAAATAAAGCTTTTGCTTGCCTTGCAGTTCTTAGCCGAAATTTATTGATATTACGTGGTGTCAGAAATTGGATCCAGAATGACTTGCCTCCTCCAGCGTCTCTATGATTCAACTAAGGTACTTACAAGAGTCCATTTCACCCTGTCGTCTCCCCAGTGATCCTGGATCCTTATGCTAAGTCCTCCTAGACCTGAACCTCCTGCCTTGGTTAAGGTCCAGGCTCTATTTGGATGTCCTCTGTTCCCAATCTTTTGTTTGTGGGATTTAAAGTGTTCATCTGGTAATTACTCTTTTGAAAAATGGGAAGTATGCTTTCTAAGGAAGAGACTGCTGAACAGTATCCTTCTTGCTTTATTTATGTACAAAAATTACAGGCCTCTGTCCTGTAAATTTCTGTCTCGCTGGACCATAATGATCCAGGAGGATTTACAATTGAACTGGCCAACTTGGGCTTATTTGAAATCCCCAAGTTAATCTATCTGTTTAGTCAGTCAGAAAATGAATACAGAGCTAAGCAACCTGAATGGAAAGCATATTTTAATTAGAATTTGAGGCCTCCAAACATATAAGTAATTCAAAAATTGCTTCCCTCCAAGACACAAATTCTAAACTAACCAAAGCAAATTCCAAGTTGTCTCAGAAACTCACTAAATTTGAGGAAACTTCAAATCTTTGTCTGACATTTCATCTGCACCTTCTGCTCCTTTGCTGTATGCCTGTTTTCCCCCTTTTTACCCTTTGTTCACTGAACCCCCTTTTTATAATGATGAACTTGAGACTCTATTAGACTCCTCTGCTTTTACCGCCCCATTTAATGTTAAACCACTGGATGGGCCACGCCCAGGATGACAACCCCTTATTTCTTATACCCCATGGACTAAAGCTGAGCTGTGTGCCATTACTAAAATTTTTCTAATCTAATCCCAAAGAGGGCCCCATTGGGTTTGCTAGGGAATTTCTGCTTACTATCCAAACACATGAGCCAAGGTTGTCTGACCTCTATCAGCTTATCCATATGCTCATAGGAGAAGGTTATGCAAGAGAATGGCAAAACAAAATGGAATGGCAAAACCCTATCAGAGACTTTTCCCTTGAGGACAAGAAATCATGAACAAAGCCTCAAAGCTGGCTAAATGGCTTCATGAAAAGATACCCAAGGCTTTTCTTTGAGTAATTGTTTGGAAGAAAAATTTAAAATATGTTAAAGGGGCGGTCAGGTGGCTCAGTTGGTTAGAGTGCATGCTCTCAACAACAATGGTTCCCGTTCGATTCCCGCATGAGCCAGTGAGCTGCGCCCTCTGCAACTAGATTGAAGACAATGACTTGAGCTGAGCTGCTGGTGGGCAGCTGGATGGCTCAGTTGGTTAGAGCGTATGCTCTTAACAACAAAGGTGCTGGTTTGATTCTCACATGGGATAGTGGGCTGCGCCCCCTGCAACTAGATTGAAAACGGTGACTGGACTTGGAGCTCAGCAGCACCCTTCACAACTAAATTGAAGGACCACGACTTGACTTGGAGCTGATGTGTCCTGGAAAAACACACTGTTCCCCAATAAAATTTCTTTTAAAAAAAGTTTAAAAACCTGATTAAACTGTTTTTAATAATTATGATAGATTTGAAAAACTTTTTAAACAGTATTCTGGCATTGATGAAGTCAATGATGACACCTCAGTGCTTTTTAATTCAGCTTTTGTTGAGGGTATACAAGACAAACTTGGACAACAGGTAAAAAAAATTACAACTTAATTGGACCACCATGCAAAACCATGATTTAGTACACAATGCTGAGCAGCTCTCCAAGCTATCCAAAAAGATACCACAAAGAAAGCTACACAATCCCTAAATGCCAAAATTCAGGCAATTCAAGTAATGAGCCTACAATTACAGCAATTGACAGCTAAATCTACCTGTCAAGGTCCCCAAGGCAAACCACCATTCAGAGGGATTGGTAATTATTGCAAAAAGCCTGGACATTGGGGAAAAAAGATTATTTAAAGCTTAAAAGGCTAACAGCCCATAAAATTTGCAATTCCTCCTTAAGGATTCCAACCTAAATTTTTTCAGCAATAGCGTTGCTCTGAGGATCAAAAGGGGATTTTTTTCTCATGCCTCTAACTAATTCTTTAGGAGAAATTGATCTAACTATTAGGAATTAGGTAACTAAGGAGTGCTGAAACCATACAATTGGTGAGGGTTTCCAATTGACACATGACTGTCTCCAAATCCCTTTTGATTCCTTTTTAGCTTGGACCTATTCAAGGAACCCACTGATTTCTTCTGGTTCCCTCTGTATTCCTTTTCAGTTAAAGCATTGTAGCCCATATTTCCTTCTCTCAAAAGGGGAAACTGTTCTTACATCTTGAGCTTCTAACTAATGATCCTCAAGCGGACTAGACCATAGCTATTCCTGTTTTTTCAGTCACTTTAACTGAATTGAACCCTCTTTTAGATTCCATTCCAAATGAACTTGGGTAAAAAAATGCCACTGACATACATTACATTTATTCTGCACCAGCAATGAAAATTAAAATTCACACACACACA